CGTCCCCGCGGCTCGGTTTAAGACCAGGCCTCGTGGTGGATCAAGGTCTGATCAACCAGGCTGTTACTGCTGGCCGCACTAACCACAGCCCGGGTGTGGTTCGTACGTCATTTTGATACCAGAATTTGCGTGACACTGTAAATCTCCAAGCGGACATTAAGCAAGTCTTTAAATAGACCTCAGAAAACAATATGAATTTCAATGAAGACAAATTTTAATTACTCCACTATGGAAAACTCGAGGAAATAAAAACTGGATCGGAGCATAAAACAAATTCCAAACACACAATAGAGCGAAAAACTGATGAAAAGAACCTGGGAGTGATATGTCAGAGAATCTCATTTTCAAGGATCACAACAATTCCTCTATCACATCTGCCAGGAAAATAAGAGAATAGATAATGAGAACTTTCTAAACTAGGGATGCCAAGCTAAAGATAATTTTCCTCAGATCGCTTGTTCTCTCTAGGCTGGAAAATTTTTGTACACGGTTCAAATCCCTTGACTTGTACTCCTTGGAACGTAGACGAGAAAGATACATGATAATATACACTTAGAATATCTTAGAGGGAATAGTCCAAAAACTGCACACGAAAATCACTCCCTACGAAAACAAAGGACACTGCAGGCAGTGTACCCCCCCCCTTCCCATGAAAAGCAGGGGTGCCCTGAGTACACTAAGAGACAGCACATCTGCCTCCCAGCATACATAAGGGGAATGACCATAGACTCCTGGCTGTCTTCAAGAAGGAACTGGGCAGGTAGCTGAAGTCAGTATTTGACCAGCCGGGCTGTGGTGCGTACGTCGGTTTGCGTGAGGCCAGCAGTAACAGCCTTGTGTAAAAAGACACTTATGTACAGTTCAGGACATTTATTAAAGGAAATGTTTCGCCACGAGTGGCTTCTTCAGTCCTAATCAGGACTGAAGAAGCCACTCGTGGCGAAACGTTTCCTTTAATAAATGTCCTGAACTGTACATAAGTAACTTTTTCCACATCTTGTCGGTATCACCATACCATCTCTTCAGTAACAGCCTTCTTCACGAGGCCTGGTCATGGACCGGGCCGCGGGGGCGTTGACCCCCGAAACCCCCTCCAGGTGTACTCCAGGTATATAACACAGTATTATGCTGCAGGTCCACATGTTGATCAGACAATGAACGTCAGTAATTACGAGTAAAATTACATCCACCCAAGACCCTCCTCACGTTTTCCTGCCCTAGACTGAGTTATGGAGAATTTGTCAGCGCGACGTGGGACTGATTGTGTCTGCATTTATAGTTTCACTTGCTAAAACCCAATTAGTTGATTATCAAGAATGTTGCTGCCACTTTATAACCTTCATTACATGTCAGTTACAAAACCTTTCTTGTAATTTCTTTATGTATTTACTTGTGAGAGACTGGATTTTATACTGCGTTTTTCTAATACAATCTTCATGATTAGTGTTTAAAGTGTATTTGGTGTAGGTTAAACTGCCACTCGACAGCTACATTACTCCGGATCAAACACACGGAAAGAGAACCTATTGGTCATCACTTAAAATTCACCACCGACTTACATAAATTCAATCAACACATATATTATCTCACAGAACTACAACTTCAGCGACAGAGACTTTAAGAAGGATATCTGGAAGCATCCTCACGGCCGCACTCTGAAAACCCCCTACAGAGGCTCTGGTGGCTCTGGTGGCCTGGTGGTTAACGCTCTCGCTTCACACGGTGAGGGCCTGGGTTCGATTCCCAGCCAGAGTAGAAACATTGGACGTGTTTCTTTCCACCTGTTGTCTATGTTCCCCATCAGTAAAATGGGTACCTGGGTGTTAGTCGACTGGTGTGGGTCGCATCCTGGGACACTGACCTAAGGAGGCCTGGTCACAGACCGGGCCGCGGGGGCGTTGACCCCCGGAACTCTCTCCAGATAAACTCCAGATAAACAGCTGCATTATTTCCCAGGTAGTACTTTAAGGCACTTGAGAACCTTACCGGACACACCAACATAAGGATATTTGCCACTGTCATAGACAATCTTTTGGAGGACAGCAACATAACAAAAGAAATTTTGCCTTTTGTAGGTCCCAATTCGCTTTTTTTCTGCAAGAAACTGGAAAAATGAAATGTGATCCTTTCCGAGTGTAGTGTCTGATTAGCTTCAACCCTTCCCAGCTTATCGCGCATCTGAGCGGCTTCAAGCTTACTGTGCTGGTTTGTTTCAGGATGCTGGTCTCTTTGGTCCCTGTGAAAGATTTGAATTCGATTTGGTCTATGTTTATTCTGATTAACCATTCACATTCAAGAAATTTGAATATTAATTTTTTTATGTTGACTTGTGAAGGTCTAGGCCCCACGGTGGATCAGGTCCTGATCAACCAGACTGCTTCTGATGACCGCACGCAAACCGACGTACGAACGGCAGCCCGGCTGATCAGGTACTGATTTTAGGTGCCTGTCCAGCGCCTTCTTGAAAACAGCCAAGGGTCTATTGGTAATCACCCTTATGTATGCTGGGAGGCAGTGGAACAGTCTTGGTTATGCAAAACGGGGATACTTTTTTCGGATTTCTCATCGACCGAAATACATCCAATTACTATATGATTTACTGGATGTATTTGTACCAGTTAACGTGTTACTTTGTAAACAACTTCCAGGGTTTCGTTATGAAACCAATTTTAGAATCTAAGAACTATTGAAATATATTCGAGAGTTTCCTAGCATAAATCCATTAATTCTTTCAGAGCTAGGATATACATCTCCATGCTAAGACACATTTGAAATCATTAGCTTATAAGAACTTTCAGTTTCAAAAACTTATTCCAGTGTTGTTGCAATAACTCTGGACTTGCAGTTTAATAAAAATATTTCAGATACAACAGGAAACAAACTTCATGAAATACATAAACTTGAAAATATACCGATGAAGTCCGAGAGCCAATCAGTAGCATTGACGAAAACAAGTGAAAATGATGTCTTGAGAGTTACACAGGAATAAATATAACATTGATAGTAAACATCACGTTCTAAAGAGTTGCTTGGCGGGTACATCACAGACTGGTGGATGTTGACGAAGGATGTGGGAGTGACTTGATGGAGACCAATCGTGGTCATATTAACACCTCCAACCATATATTCTTATACTGAATATTTAGGTTGTGCAATATTGACTTGCAGTTTAATAAAATTGGTACAAAGAAAACTTATGAATTGACTTGATAATATACGATGAAGTCGAGAGCCATAGTGCAGTTGGAAACAAGTTGAAAGGATCGTGTGATGAGTACACAGAATAATATAACTTGATATAAACATCAGATTCTGAGAGACGTTTAGGGGGTAACTCACACGACTGCCGGATGTTGACGAAGGATGTGGTCAGTGTACTGATGGAGACCCACGATGGTCTATTAACACCTCCATACCATATTTTTAACTGAATTAGGTCGTGGTTGAGTACATGAGGCGGGTGGTGGGTACATGTATGTTCTCTTGGTGGGGGTACATGATGGGTCGTGGAGTGATGAGTTACACTGCCTAGCCACACAAGCCCATCTATCCTCCAACAGTTATTTATATCTTACCATAACTGCCTCAGCTTTTAGTTCACAAACCTTCACCTCTCTTACTTGCTGCTTCTATTTTCCTTGTATTCCATTTACCTTTTACTCTCACTGTAGCTGCAGCTAAAAAGTGATCTGATATATCTGTGGCCCCTCTATAAACATGTACATCCTGAAGTCTACTCAACAGTCTTTTATCTACCAATACATAATCCAACAAATTACTGCCATTTCGCCCTACATCATAACTTGTATATTTATTTATCCCCTTTTTCTTAAAATATGTATTACCTATAACTAAACCCCTTTCTATACAAAGTTCAATCAAAGGGCTCCCATTATCATTTACACCTGGCACCCCAAACTTACCTACCACACCCTCTCTAAATGTTTCTCCTACTTTAGCATTTAGGTCCCCTACCACAATTACTCTCTCACTTGGTTTAAAGGTTCCTATACATTCGCTTAATATCTCCCAAAACCTCTCTCTCTCCTCTACACTCCTCTCTTCTCCAGGTGCATACACACTTATTATGACCCACTTTTCGCATTCAACCCTTATTTTAATTCACATAATCCTTGAGTTTATACATTTATGTTCCCTCTTCTCCTTCTATAACTGATCCTTCAACATTATTGCTACCCCTTCCTTAGCTCTAACTCTCTCAGATACTCCTGACTTAATCCCATTTATTTCTCCCCACCGAAACTCACCTACCACCTTCAGCTTTGTTTCACTTAGAGCCAGGACATCCAACTTCTTTTCATTCATAACATCAGCAATCATCTCTTTCTTATCATCCGCACTACATATATATATACGTGTGTGTGTGTGTGTGTGTGTGTGTGTGTGTGTGTGTGTGTGTGTGTGTGTGTGTGTGTGTGTGAAGTTATCACTTTTCTAATGATTTATTATATACAAACATCTTATATTAAATCATAACACGTCCAAGCCCTGCAACCCCAACAGGAAATTAACATAACCGTACGTGTTACTGGTACGTCTTGACTTACTGGTGGCAGCATTAATGACCTGTCTGTAAATTATCTAAGTTGCTTTTGAAGAGTAATGAGTTATGTGATCATCAATTTGACTAAAAACAAACCTTGATCAGAAATTTCTGACAAAACTGGGTATAAGTTGACTGATTTAAAAAAAAATATCAATGTACCAGAAAAGTTCTTACTTATAATGTTAGTGTATTAGTGTACTACCAGAAGACTATTATAGATATACATTTATACTTTCACATAAGGTGCATAATAAGTGAATGTGAGAGAGACCTACCTAACACCTGTCAGTACTACGGTATTTTCTTTATGTCCCCAACTAATTTTAGAGTATTAGAAAGTCTTTGTATGGGGAACATCCTGGAAGTTATAATAGGATAATTTCTGATAACAGGGACCGGAGGTGGCGATAATGAGGCAGGAAGGCGTACTTACCAATAGTTGTGATGAGAATAATGGAATAGAAGAGAGCACCAGCGAAGGTCCACTGCTGGGTCTCTAAGTCTTCTTCCCCGTCCCAGCCATCGTTCTTGATGGCCCGGATAAGTGACTTCTCGAAATCGACCAATCGTTTACGGACCGAATTAGCCCACTTGGTCTCATTGAGGACGGGCATGCGGTCAGTGATGCCCCACAGGTCATCCGTCACCTGCGACATGGTCAATGTATCTTAGCTTCAACAATATGACGATTATTTCTAAGATGCTAAATTAAATATAATTACTATAACCTACTAAATAAATTATAGAATCTATGACATATTCGCTCTTCAACGTACCAGCTAGACTCAAATAATCTCTGAAGATGTTGCTTAAATTATCACAAAACATCACAGACTGCTCAGTATTATTTATTATAAAGTTAATGGGATACAGTATATTTGTCTAAATAAACATATTACTAATTTTATTTAATGTTAATATAACATGCGTAGATCTATGATTAACACCCGGACCATTTTTTTTTTTTGAGAGTTAAACGCTTTCATTTCAGAGTGAATGTGTATTGTAAATGTGATCAACAATACCCTGTTTGACCCAAAACCCGGAAAAGATGCAGTTCCTTTTGCTAAGGGCCCAAGCACGCTAGCACTTTATTAAATAAAATAAAACCATTTTTTAGTTGTATTCTATTGTTTGTTTACTTTTTTAAATAAATGAACCCAAAAATACCCAGATGAGATTAATGTAAAAATTTATTATAATTTGTAATTCATAACTAGAACGACCTCATCAACATCATTTTTTTAAAAGGTCTATTAAAAAGTATAATGCTGAATTTTATTTACAGAGGCAATTAGATACTACGCTTTTTTATAGGCAGGAATTTAATTTAAAATTAATCAAAAAGTATTAGCTGTACGGGGAATTGATAATCTAGTCTTGGAATAAACTTAAGACTTGGCGTCACCTTAAGTCTGACGAATGACATGTTTTTCTTGACTTCCAGTTCATGGCGAGCCTCGAGGCGCTCGAAGGTGAAGGCTCCCACAATGGTATAGCCTATGACTAGAGAGACTAGGCCTATGTGACTGATGAGGAACTTGATGATGTTTTTGAGGTAGTAGATGCAGTTCCCACACTGTCCTTCCTCCTCACGCATCTTGACATGTACTCAACACCGCACTCCGTCACTCTCAACTCTCCTGCCCCACTCTTTGAGTTTATTTTCCTATTCTGGTTTTCGAGTTGGGTTTCATTATGATGCACTAGTATCTAACCAGTGTTTCTATCCGGGTCATTATGATGCACTAGTATCTAACCAGTGTTTCTATCCGGGTCATTATGATGCACTAGTATCTAACCAGTGTTTCTATCCGGGTCATTATGATGCACTAGTATCTAACCAGTGTTTCTATCCGGGTCATTATGATGCACTAGTATCTAACCAGTGTTTCTATCCGGGTCATTATGATGCACTAGTATCTAACCAGTGTTTCTATCCGGGTCATTTTCTCCCCAAGTCATTTTTTTTTGTGGTTCATTTTCCTCCTAAACATAATTTGTCACTAAAATGGAGAACATATATTACACATACTGTACACACACTCACACAAAAAAATTTAAAAGCCAAAATATATTAGACATCACACCCGTCCAATATTTGGACGGGAAAATTTGCACCTTTCAAACATTATCCCGCTGCCTCAACAAGCCAATGTCAACAAAGTTCAGTAAGGATTTCTTTTGGTTTTAACAGTAATGGAGAACAATGTAACATATTACGGTATATGAATATGTGGTTAATAAAAAAATATTATACATTATGAAAATAGAGAAGCAGATTTATAATCAGCAACTGACAGACACTGGTGATGGTTGTTGGAGCCAGTTAAGAACCGGACGGTTTCCCCATTCTTACGTTCTCATATTAAACATTTAGGGTAAACCAGTATTACTTACATGATGAACCTTAAGACATTCTACTCGTATTTACATTGCTTTTTGTTGAAGTTTGGGGCGACTTGTTTTGTTACTTGAATTACATGCCCCGTGGCTCAGTTGGCAACGCACTCGGCTCACACACTGAGATTCGTCCGTGGTTCGATCCTCGGCATGGGTGGAAACGTTGTGTATTTTTCCTTACACCTGCTTCCCCTCTTCACCTAGCAGTAAGTAGGTACCTGGGTGTTAGTTATCTTACATCTGCTGCCTCTTTTCACCTAGCAGTAATTAGGTACCTGGGTGTTAGTCACCTTACATCTGTTGTACCTGTTCACCTAGCAGTAAATAGGTACCTGAGTGTTAGTCGACTGTTGTGGGTCGCATCCTGGGGATGGTAGTACACCTTAGATAGAGTAGAGCTTTGAAATAAGCTGAGACAGAATAACAGCTCTTAGCCTGTGTAAATTTGATTATTTTAAATAAATCTACCTTGTAATAATGTTGGTAGAATTACAGACAATGTCTTAGGTAACAGGATATACGTGCAACTAATTCGACAAAGATCCTGGAAAGAGCAACGTTACTACAATAAATATTAGGCTAGTTGTACCTACCTAACATAAACTGACTTCCCTGTCACCGTCACTAACCCATCCTCCCATCACACTGGTTCTCGCTCACACTACGCTCTTCCATATAGTGTGCCCGTTTTTAATATTTTAGTCCCTTTTATATTGTCTCCTTTATTTTAGCTTTAAAGAACTACCTTAGCTTATATTATTTACATTTGTTAAAATAATTCAGATGCTGTTTTTGTTAGCTTTAGAATATTTACTTTGTCTTATACTTAATTCTTGCTATAGATTCACTCTGAATCTTATGATTACTAGCATTGATCCTGATACCAACCGCTTATTGAATGACTTAAATGAGATCGACACCATGCCTAACCCTTCTAGGGTAGGGTAGGTGCCTGAGCCCGAGCCTTCAGCTCATAAGACTGTCATTCCCATTTGCCCCTTGGGGGATGGGATACCTAGAGAGGCTACTTGCTGGCTAGGCCTGGGACAGTTGGTCCCAAAGATGAGGAGGTACTTGTGCCTCCTCCCATGGCAGACTTAGGTCTCAGACATTCCCTAAAGAGGGAGCCAAGGCCGGGCCACCACTTGGAAAAGGCCCGGGCCGGGAGAATACCCGCTAATCTTTAATAATAATAATAATAATGACTTAAATGAATCAATCAGTAACTGTAATTACTACACAGCAGAACAATCAAAGGCACTTCTCAGAGCCAACAACAACATAACTATCTTTAACTACAATATCAGATCTTTAAGCAAGCATTACGATGACCTCCTAGCATTACTAAATTCCTTGCATGCCAATATGTCCATCATTACACTAACTGAAACCTGGCTAAAGCCTGATACTACAGATGTCTATGCCATTCCTGGTTACACAGCCATACACAACTGTAGGCCAGACCAACAAGGGGGTGGCACAGCTATATACTACTCAGACCAACTAGAATGTATCACTAATACTTGCACAAGGGATGAACATGGGGAATATATAATAGCTAAATTCAAATCCAAATACCTACAAAAACCTCTCACATTGATAAACATCTACAGAATTCCACAATCAAACATTAGCCAATTTAGTCAAAAACCTAGGAAGTATGATAACTGATGCACGCATGAACAAAGATCACTTACTACTCTCAGGTGACTTCAATATAAATCTCCTGCAAGACCAGGACCCACACGTTACTGAATTCACAAACACAATGAGTAACTGCATGTTGCTACCAACAGTAACAAAACCTACAAGAATTACAGAGACTAGTGTTTCCCCACTAGACCACATCTGGACCAACACCATATCCCATTTAAAATCAGGCATAATCACAGATAATACCACAGACCATTACCCTACTTTCCTCATAACTAATCTAGGCAAATTACCCCAAGACACTACTAAAGTCACTTTCAGACTTCACAGTGAGGCAGCCATTAATAACTTCACAACAGCAATGGCAAACATTGACTGGCACACTGAGCTAGAAATCTATACAGATATTGACGAAAGTGTTAATAATTTTTTAAAAAAGACCCAATACCTCTATAACAAGCACTGTCCTAAAAAAAACTAAACAGATGACAGCTAAGAGACTGAACAGTCCCTGGCTAACTCCCAGCATTCTCAAATCCATTAATACAAAGCACCTATACGAAAAACAGTACAGATTGGGTCACATAACCAGAGACCAAAAAAAACGTTACTAGTCAATCCTAACCAGCCTAATAAGAAGGGCTAAAAAATTGTATTATGAGAACAGATTATCCAACTTAAAATGTGATATAAAAAAGACCTGGAAAACCCTATCAGAAATTCTAGGAACAAAAAAGATATCACGAAACAGAGCAATTGAACTAACAAAGCCAGACGAACCCCAACTCCCACCAACAGAAACAGCAAACAGACTCAATGATTTCTTCTCCACCATAGGAAAAAACCTTGCCAATAAAATCCCAAGCTCAAATACTCCACCCAATGACTACCTCACTGGCAACTACCCGAACACACTGTTCCTAGCTCCGACTAACCCAACAGAAGTCCCTCTTATTATCAACACACTAAAAAACAAGACGAGATTTAAATACCTTACCACCCTTTATATACAAAAAAGTGTCGCAAGTGCTGTCACCAATCATTGCAACACTCTTTAACAAATCCATAGAATCCTCTATCTTCCCTACAGTTCTCAAAATAGCGAGAGTCACCCCGATCCATAAAGGAGGAGACCAAACAGACTTGAATAACTGTAGGCCAATATCCAACTTACATCCTCTCTCTAAAATCTTCGAAAAATTAATTCATAAGCGAATCTATTCCTATCTCATATCCCACAACATACTCAACCCCTGTCAGTTTGAGTTCAGGCCTAATAAAAATACGAATGATGCTATTATAAACATGCTAGAACAAATATACACTGTACAAGAGATAAAAAGAAGTCCCACTGGGAATCTTCATTGACTTACGTAAAGCTTTTGATACAGTTGACCATGACTTGCTCCACGTAAAATTGTCACACTATGGTATAAGAGGGCACTCCCTCAACTACCTCAAGTCATACCTCAGCAACAGAAGCCAATATGTGTACACATGTGGAGCAAACTCTTCCGCACAGCCAATTACAGTTGGTGTCCCACAGGGAAGTGTCCTTGGCCCTCTTCTCTTTCTCGTTTACAAAAATGACCTACCAAATGCATTGCAACTACTCAAACCCACACTATTTGCAGATAACACTACATACGTCTCCTCTCACCCTAGCCCAGTCACGCTAGCCAATACTGTAAATACCGAACTACAGAAAATACCTACCTGAATGATGATTAACAAACTTACACTAAACATTGACAAAACCTACTACATTCAGTTTGGTAACAGAGCTACAGATGTTCCTCTTAACATAATGATAAACGGATCACCTATCACAAAGCTAACAGAGGGAAAATTCTTAGGAATCCACCTTGATAATAGACTCAAATTTCAAACACATATACAACAAATTTCCAGGAAAATTTCCAAGACCGTAGGCATACTATCGAAGATACGGTACTATGTTCCACAGTCAGCCCTCCTGGCCCTATATCACTCGCTTATTTACCCCTATCTCACCTATGGAATTTGTGCATGGGGCTCAACAACAATAAACCATCTCAGACCACTAATTACCCAACAAAAGGCTGCAGTCAGAATGATAACAAATTCCCACTACAGGCAGCACACTCCACCAATATTCAAAACTCTAAACCTACTCACCATGCAAAACATCCATACCTATTACTGCACCTACTACATACATAGAACACTTAACTCGGATATAAACCCTCCCCTCAAACGTCTCCTTACCAACCTCAACAGAACACATGACCATAATACAAGGCACAGATCACTCTTTGATGTTCCTCGTGTCCATCTCACACTATGCAAAAACTCAATGCACATAAAAGGCCCTAAAATCTGGAATTCACTACCTGTGAATATAAAAGAAACACTGTCTGTTTATAAATTCAAGTCTCTTCTTAAAAATCACTTACTCACCCACAACCAAATAAATACTGAATAATTGTATCTCATAAATGTTTAACCTGTTACCCAATCAAACTTTGTTATTTTTAATTACATTATCTAACAGAATACTCCAGTCTACTGAATGCTCAGCAACACAGTAAATAACCATATGACCTGTCTTTGTAATACTCATTTGTGCTTAATTGTTAACTGTTTACAACAATGTTTTACCACTGAATATATCATTGCTTAGTTAATCTTAAGTTAATTTTATGCCTGCCCATAATGCTCTGTATACAAGGGGCTTTGGCATGTTATACTTAACCACTGTATTTCCTTGTACTTCAATGTATCATGTTCAAATTAATAAATAAATAAATAAGTTTAATTGACGTTAAATATAATGTACTTTTTATAGGCTCGTGTACCCTAATATAACCTAAACTTACACAAAATAAAAACGAACAGTGTACTTTTTATAGGCTCGTGTACCCTAATATAACCTAAACTTACATAAAATAAAAACGAACAGTGTAAAATG